GCAGAACGGCCTTTCCTGCGGCTACACCGCGGGGGTCCGCAGAACGGCCTTTACTGCGGCTTCACCGCGGGGGTCCGCAGAACGGCCTTTCCTGCGGCTACACCGCGGGGGTCCGCAGAACGGCCTTTCCTGCGGCTACACCGCGGGGGTCCGCAGAACGGCCTTTCCTGCGGCTACACCGCGGGGGTCCGCAGAACGGCCTTTCCTGCGGCTACACCGCGGGGGTCCGCAGAACGGCCTTTCCTGCGGCTACACCGCGGGGGTCCGCAGAACGGCCTTTCCTGCGGCTACACCGCGGGGGTCCGCAGAACGGCCTTTCCTGCGGCTACACCGCGGGGGTCCGCAGAACGGCCTTTCCTGCGGCTACACCGCGGGGGTCCGCAGAACGGCCTTTCCTGCGGCTACACCGCGGGGGTCCGCAGAACGGCCTTTCCTGCGGCTACACCGCGGGGGTCCGCAGAACGGCCTTTCCTGCGGCTACACCGCGGGGGTCCGCAGAACGGCCTTTCCTGCGGCTACACCGCGAGGGTCCGCAGCGCCTCCTCGGCCGAGCGGCACTGGTTCAGCTGGATCTGCACCTCCACGGTCAGCGGCTCCGGCTGGTAGTCGCTCTCGTGCCCTGCGGACCAAGGACGCGCACTGGTCAGCGGACGCGGGTGGGCGGCCGGGCTCGGACCGTCCCCAAAACGCAGACCGGCCCCGCGTGCGCCCCGGGGGAGCCCGTCGCGCACTCAGGCTCTGTAATTACGAGTAAAACGAAGTCACGTTTCACCGGGGGACCCCCGTTTCCCAAGGCTGTGGTTCAGACCTGAGTATTTGGCAGGTGTTTTTTGTTTTTGTTTTTTTAAAAGCGCATGAGGTAAGCCTGGGACTTCAGGGAAAACAACTGAAAGCATTTTGAGAAGTAATTTGGTAGCACTTGAGCCTTCAAATAGAAACGAGAGTGTTTGAGCATCGCCTGCGCCACCGCGAACTCGGTTTCCCAGCGCTCAGGCTGAACTCATGCTACAGGTAGTGACAGGAGCGAGTGTGACTTTTGGAAAAGGTATGAAATGGGCCCAGGCATCGGAAGATCTGCATAACTCGGCAAACCGGCATTTTACAAAGAAGCAGTGTCTGGTGTGACGGGCTGTGTGCGGGTCAGAGCCATGCATCTCGAGATGCAGGGCAGCCCGGTGGGTTTTAACAGGACGGGCAACGAAAACGTTCATTCGTACACTCAGCCACGAAAACGTTCATTCGTACACTCAGCCCAAGGTGGAGAGAGATTTGCAAAAATGTAACCAAAAATAATTTCAAGATCATTCATCTTAACCCCACAGCCCCATCACAAATCACACGTCAGTATCCGTGTGGCCCTGAAGTCCAGCAGTGCAAGTCCTGTGTGCTTTTTCAGTTGTTTTGCCGACCCCAGGCCCCTCACATCTCCATATGCACGTCGGAAGCGGGTTGTGGATTTCTACAACGACAAAATCCCTCTAGGGTTGTGACCGAGATGGCGTTGCATCTCTAGGTCAATTTGAGGAAATCCGACATCTTAACAATATTCAGTCTCCTGGTCCATGGACATAGTACACCTAGCTTACACATTTTTTAGGTGAATTGTTTTCATTGAGAAAATTCAGCTGCCAGGTGAGGACACAGTGAGAAGGCCCTGGCTGTGGACCAGGAACAGGGCCCTTACCTGACAGCAGCGGCACCTTGGTCTTGGACCTCCCAGCCTCCGGAGCTGCAAGAAATGTGTGTGGTTAGGAGCCGCCCAGGCTGTAGGGCCCTGTTATCACAGCCCCCGCAGGGGAAGACAGGCCCTCGGCAAACACTGCCTGCCCTCGGGCGCCGCCGTTGGCTCTCACCTTTTTTACCTTTCTTATTCTTGGAATCCTGAGAGAAAGAACCACCGAATGAGCCTCTCACAGAGAGGGGGGGACGCTGGGGAAGGGGCGGGTGCAGATTCCCCTGCGTCTCGTGGCCGCTCCCACCCCTGCCAGGGCCTCTCCTGGCCCCCGGGGCAGGGCAGGGCCTCCTAGGGAGGAGTGGGCCGTACCTGCCTCTTGCCTGGCTCCTTGCACCTGAGAAGGCTGCGGACATGCCAGTGCCCCAGAGCCGAGGCCCTCCCTGCCCCCACCTTGGGAGAGGCCCTTCTCCTCCCTGGCTGCCCTGTGCCTTCGGGGGCCCTGCGGATGCTAGGGCTTCTTGAGGGGGTGGGGAGGTGCAGCAGGGGCTCTACGGTACCCTGAGAAACGTCAGCCTGTCGGATTCCAAGGTGCGGATCACCCCAAACTTGCACAGGGTTGACACAAGTGGCTCCCCGGCCAGCAGGGGCTCCAGGACCACTAAGCCGCTGCCCAGCACCCGCAGTTCGGGGGGGTCCTGGCGGAGCTCCTTAGAAAGCCCTCTCTTCTTCTTCAGCGCCTTCTGTTCCTGGGACGAGAGGCCCGGAGAGTGACCGGGCCTGGCAGGGACGTGCCCAGGGCCCAGGGCCCCCCGCCGCGGCCCAGGACCAGCAGTACCTTCTCTCTCTTTCCTTTGGCCTCCTTGTCGTCGCTGTCTTTCCCCTGCTTGTCTTTCTCTTTCTTTTTCTGGGCCTTCTCGCCTTTTCCCTTCTTGGCAGGCAAGGGAGTGTCGACGGGAGGTGGCACCGCGGGCCAGGAGAGGATCTAGGGGGACAGCAAGGCGGCCTTGCGTGAGCCCCGGCCACGCTGGGGCTGGCTGGGATCGTTCTGGAAAGGGGCTGAGCCCCCGCTAACGAGGGAGCGGGACTTGGGGCACCCTGACGGGAAACCAGAACGGGAGGGGCAGCGTGTCTCCCACCTTCTCCTCCACGATGGTCACAGTGGTCCCTGCCATCAGGAAGGCCTTGAGCGGCACCAGGTCCCTGAGCGTGTGCTGCATCTCGTAGTTGCAGGGGATGACATCGGTCCAGGGCTTGCGGACGGTGCTGAAGAGGACTGTCCTGGGAGGGGACGCAAACCCAGGGCGTCATCACCCAGGGCCAGGGGCAAGGCTGTGGGGCTGGGGCCAGGAGGCCGGGAAGGGACACGGCACAGTGGAGGAGGCGGACGGTGGACGTCTCGTGGGGACTTTCTTCAGGGGCCGACGGTGCACTGAACGGTGGATGGAAACCAACCGGGAAGAAATCAGGAGGGGTTTTTGTTTTGTGGTTTGTTTGTTTTTTTAATGTCTTCATTGATTTCAGAGAGAGGAAGGGAGAGGGAGAGAGAAACATCAATGATGAGAGGGTCATGGATCGGCTGCCTCCTGCACGCCCCTGCTGGGGATCGAGCCCGCCACCCGGGCATGTGCTCTGACCGGGAATCAAACCACCATCTCCCGGATCCCAGGTCGACGCTCAACCGCTGAGCCACGCCAGCCAGGCAAATCTGAAGTTTTTAAAAACTCCAGCAAAGTAGGAGTAGAACTGTTTGGATTTCCCTGAATTGTTACTGACTGATTCTCTGGTGCCAGGAGGAGCTCAGGGAGTCACAGGGCTGGACAAAGGGAGTGTGGGGACGGCCCTGGGAGAGAAGCGGGACGTCCACACGACACTCAGAAGAGCACTGGGGCTCGAACAGGCGCCTGCAGCCCGACCTCCACAGGGGCGTTACCCTCCGAGACCAAGTCTGTCGATGGAGGCGCAGAGGTGGGGTCACCACACCTCAGACTGTGACTCAGCGCTAGAGAAGGGAGGGGACCCTCAGGTGATGATTAAGAAGATAAAGTTCTAGCTTCTTTTATTTAAAAAAAGCCTTTAGCAAGGAAGGCGAACGGTGACACGTGAAGCCCGTGGCATGGAGGCGACTGGACTTAAGGAGCCAAGAAAGGACCTGGCCCTCGGGCTGGAAGATCCAGGCCTCGCGCCAGATGCCAGAATCAGCTCTAGATGAACTGAAACGCTAAGCCCGAAAGGTTTCCACCCTAAAGGGAATGAAAGGGGCTTGTTCCCTCTCGGGAGCCGGGGAAGCTCAAGCATTCAGGGAACCGCGGCCGCTCGGGGAGGAGATGCAGCGGCAGGTTGGGCGGGAGGTTGGGACTCCAGGAAAGAGTCGAACACTGAGCCCAACCGGCCTTCGAGGGGCCTCGGCGGCTCACGTGGGCTCCGGGGGGCGCTCAGCTGTCGGAAGGGAAGGGGCCGCGCGGTCTGGGCTGGCGGGGACCTTGGTGCCCACCCGGCAGCCAGGCCTCCGTCCTTACCCGGGGGATGGGCAGAGCCGGAGGTCCATTCTCGGCCGCAGCTTGGCCAGCTCTGCAGAGCCGATGGACCTGGGCAGGGACAGCGACCCAAAAGAGACCCCGGACTCCTCCAGGTCCTGGGACTGGGACTGGGACTGGGACTGGGACGCAGTCGTGGGCCCAGACTCGGCGGAGTCTTCGGCCTCTTCGGGGGCAGAGTCGTCAGGGGGAGCGGCGGTGAGGGGGGCAGGGGCGGTGACGGGGGTGACCTCCTTGGTGACCTCCTCTGTGCTGGGAGAGGGCTTGAAGATCTGCGGGAGAAGACGGGGGAGCAGGGCCAGGGCTTGTGGCCAGGTCCTTGCCTGCGCGGTGTGAACCAGTGTGAACACACTCAGCGTCTGAAGCACGAGCACACGCGTGAACTCAGGAGGGTGAAAAAAAAGCCGGTCGCCTTTCCCCCGGGGTCTGTGCATGGGACAGGGTCTCCCCGCCTCCCCCCCGGGCGGTGGTGGCCTTGGGTTTCCTCTTGGTGGGGGGACGAGAGGTGGAGGGGCTGGAGGATGGGTCAGTCTAGAGGTGAAATTCTGGGGGCTCCCTTCCCTGCTCCGAGTAGGGCCTGGGCCTCCAAGAGCCCGTCTGCCTGCGCGGGAGCCCCCGCCCCACGTTCTCAGGCCAGCCCCGGGGCGCACCTCGGCCAGCACCCCTTCGAACTCGTTCCCTTCACCCTCTTCATCCTCGACAAAGTCATAGGTCACGTAGTAGCTGTAACTGATGAAAGGCCCTTGGGGCCCCGGCTCCGGGTCCAAGATCGAGGAGTCCAGAACCCCTCTGATATTCCCGATCGTCACGACGAACTGTGCCTCATGGGGCAGGAAGTCTGCAAGGGGGAGGCGCAGGAGTGAGGGGCGCCGCGGGTTTGGAAGTGGGAGCAGGGACAAGAGGGCGGGGGGGGGCAGGCGGCCGGGCGCGCTGAGCCCCGGGGTCTGCGGACTTGGGTTCGGTCCCAGCTCTGCCAAGCTCAAACTCGGGCACTTTGGGCCAGTCCCCTTTTGGTGAGACTCCCCGCTCGGGCCTTGTTTTCCCCGATCTGTACAATGGAGTGACAGCGGCCGCTCAGCAGGGCGGTGTCACCCCAGCTGTCCTCGTAAACCTGTCACCGCCGAGACCGCGGGGAGGCTCCGGCGCAGCGTGTGGCCGGGGCCACAAGGGGGTGATCTCGAGCCACCTCGGAAGCGAAGACACGGATCTAAAGAAAGTTTCTCGCTTGCCTAGGAGGGGAGGGGACCGAGGAGGGCCCGGCCTCCCCACCCCTTCTGTCCCCAAAGCCCCGTCGCGGGGATCAGGTCTGGGAGAGGAGTCAGAGGAAGACGATGGGGAGCTGCGGGGACAGTGAGGCGGCGGGCGGGCCGCTCGCTCACCCCCGCTGTGGTGGAGGCCCCGGAACTGGTACTTCTCGCTGGAAGACACGGTGATGTCGTCCAGCACGCAGAGCTGGGCCAGGCTGTCGATGGTGAAGCCGCGGTAATAGGGCACCAGGGCCAGCGGGTTGCCCTGCAGCACCAGGAGCCTCAGGTGCTTCAGCGTGCTGAGGCTGGCCACCATGCCCTGCAGGTCCGTCAGGTCGTTGAAACCCAGGTCCAGGGACACGAGGTTGGGCCTGGAAGGTGAGCAGAGGGGTGGGGACAGGCCTGCCTGCCTGCCCAGCGTCCCCCTGCACCCCGCATCCAGGACGGGGCCTGATGCTGAGGGTGGGCTGGGAGCCTGCCCATTGTGACTGGCATGCCTTGGGCCGCCCTTGACCCAAGTTAGTTAGCCCCCGGCCCCCCCCATAGCGAAGGAAAGACCTCCTGGCTCTCCTGCCCCCCTCCCTGCGCCCCTGCCACCCTCACAGGTGGGACACGGCCCTTGTCACATCCTGCCTCGGCCTGACTTCCACCAACACAGATCTGCCCTTCTAGGCTAAACGACTCCGCTTCCCCGTGGACCCTGACGCGGCCTCGTGCATCTGGAAGGCTCCTGACAAAGACTGACTGGCTGTGGGGGAAGGAGGGGGGTTGGGGAAGAGTGTGGGGTAGTAAGGAGGCCTGGGGAGGTGACGCAGGAGACGCGAGGGGTCCAGAAGCTGGGGGACACTTTCCAAAGCCAGGCTGGCAACTGATCACAGGAAGCGCTTGGTTCATCTCTTGGGGCCCCTGGGTGCAGGACAACCCGCCAGTGAGGGCGGAGGAGGGGGGAGGGCCAGCCGGGGGCAGGGGGTTTCCCCACCGCCGAGCAGATTAGAAAGCAAACTGATTTCAGCTCTGAGAACAGAGGCGAGATAAACACGGGGAGACACCTCCTCGGCACCATCTCTCACGATCACCCCCCGCCCAGACTGACTCAGGTTCTTCCCCTCCCCCCCTCCT